ATAAATTTATGGTATAGAAAATATAGTAAAGTACTATAAATGTATTTGCACTTCCTTATGATTTTCTTAATAACATTCCTTCTACCTAACTTTATAAGAATAAAAATTATAATACATATAACAAAGAAAATATGTGTTAATTTATTATGTTATAGTAAGGCTTCTGGTCAACAGTAAGTTATTAGTAGTTAAGTTTTGGGGAAGTCCAAAGTTATATGTGATATTTGACTTCATGGTGGGAGTCAGTGACCTTAACTCCATGTTGTGTTGTTCTAGGTCCACTGTGTTTGCCTTTAGTGCTTTTAATATTGTAGCTACTCAATGTTTAATATTATATTGATGATCCATTCATGACTGGATAAGAAAAAGAGACTAAAAATCAATGATTTGGGTCTTCTTTTATGCTGCCTCATTGTTTCTTTTTGGTTGTCTCTTAAGTTCTTCCATTTTAATAGGAAAATAAATGCATATGAAAAAAAGACATATTTCACCAGACATAATTGTTCCAACACCACAATTATTAATTCTCATGTCTGCTTCTCTAATCATAACTTATTCTACTATGGGGTCACTTTTCACCTCTTACTACTCTGATTGTTCTCTGAACACATAGAATCCTTTCTTTCCACATTGCAGTTGGTGATATCTTTTTGAAAAAAATCCTATATTACCTTCCTATTTGTGACAATTCAGTGATTTTCTCCATTGCTCTTAGGGTAAAACAAAGCTCCTAACCTGATATACAAAGGGATCATCACCTTCTTTTTTTAAATATGTATTTTATTGATTTTTTTAACAGAGAAGAGGGGTGAGGGATAGAAAGTTAGAAACATCGATGAGAGAGAAACATCAAACAGCTGCCTCCTGCACACCTCCTACTAGGGATGTGCTCGCAACCAAGGTACATGTCCTTGACTGGAATAGAACCTGGGACCTTTCAGTCCACAGGCTGACACTTTATCCACTGAGCCACACAGGTTAGGGCAGGATCATCACCTTATTCTTCTCCATGTTTCTAGTTCATATTGCCCTTTACTCCAACTCTTTCTCTCTGCTAAAACCATATTGGCCTTGTTTTCAACCCTTTATGTTTGCCTTGCTGCCTCCAGCCACTGATTCTATACACATGAAGTTCTTCCCACCAGAAATGTTCTTCTTGTCCTTCCTCACTTAAACCTATTCCTCCTTCTGATCTTAGCTCAACTGTTACTTCCTCAGAGATGCCTTTGCTCATTTCCCTAACTAGGTACCATCCCATGTTGCAAAGACTCTTAGTTTCATGCTCCTTTGTTGTCTGTATAGTTGTAATTTTATATCAAATCATATGACTATTTAACTGACATCCTATTTGGTCAAGGAAAACATACGCTTTGCTAAAGGAAAGCCCTTTTCTAAATGTACTCACCCCTGAATCATCAGCCCAGTGTTTGGCATGCAACAGAGGTACTCTGTAAATACTGCTTGCCTTAGAACACAATAAAGTTCATTCTCAAGATGAACACATTATAAGGTATTTCCTACAAGACACAAAATGCAATGTATTCAACCAAAACATAGCTATAATTAGAGATTTTCCATGGAGTGAAGTCATTCTTCATGTCTATTAGTTTGCATTCTTGTCTTAATTTTTTTTTTAAATTTTACTTGCAATCCAAACATAGAAGATTTGATGATGAATGTAAATGGAATACTTCAACAGAATTTGCTCTCAGAATATCCATTGTGAAATATTGCAACTGCTTTCCTTTAATATCATTTCCTTGTTGTTCATTAGTATTAACCTGAATATTGCATTCAAATACAGATAATTTGATATATCTATGCCTTTTTTTTGTATGTCTCTATTTTCCATCATTTCATTACTATGGATACTAGCAAACATTGCATTTTCTATATTATAAGATACCATTAACTCTAAAATACATAAAATTTCATAGAAATAAATATGGAAAGTTGATCCTGATGGCAAGTTCATTTAAACCAATAAATATTCTCTTTTTTATAGATGAAATTATTTTAAAGTTCTGGCTGAGTAATCCCAATGCAAAATGACTTGCATCTTTAGAAGACTGCTAATGTAAAACAGTAATGAGCAATGGGAGAAACCAACACTACATGTGAGGAAACAGGACTTGACACATGATCTGCATTCATCTTGTAGCAAAGGCCTCTCCTGCCATGAGGTCAGATTCTTGAAGTTATATCAATTTAGTCGGTGGTCCAGCCATTCTGCAAAAATTGAAAGATACAAAAGGTGGCCCAGAGCAGGTTTTATTGCTGATTAATGAAGGCCTCAATAAAAGAAGAGTATTTTAAAAAGAAAAAAAGAAACTTAAAGGATTACCAAGTTCAAACACATTGTTTTATACATAGGGGAAACTAAAGTGAAGAGGGGACAAATCATTTGTCTAAGGCCAGGACTGAAACCCAGACCTCTTAGTGCACAGCTATTTCCACTACATTCCATTGCCCGATCACATTAGTTCTGTAAGATTCTCAAGGAAAATGAATCTAAGCAATAAACCCCAGGCCTAGACCACTTCAGTAGCTGGAAAACCCATAAACATTTTCACAGTAACATTAGAATGAGCCACATCTTATTAGCTAGCAAAAATTAATATGAACAAGTAACCATTACCCTCTGTGCACTTAGCATTCTTTACATTTCTCAAATGCACATAAGAAATATAAACAAAACTCTTTTCTCAAAAATAATGTTTCTATGTCACTAAATCTCTTTGCTGAATTAAAAATGCCAATACAGGCGTTTAGGGAACACTTTCCATTTATTCATTTCTGGCAACATTTTTTTTTCAGAAATGGATACTGACACAAAATTTCATAGTATAATGTTCTATCAGTGGTATATTCATAAACCAGCTCTCCAAAAAAATAAAAAGAGATTACATTTTTTAAATGCCTAGTTTGTAAGGCTCCCTTATTCCTATGCTACAAATATTCCCACCACAGCCAATTTCAAAATACTGAGTCTGAAACAAATCATTGACAGAATTCCAGGACATATAACAAGTGGTTCTAGTGCACTAATCAGAGGCGGCCCCAACACACCACTGATACTGTAGGGTAACCTACTCTTCTAAGAGGAAATTGAGGCTCAGAGAGGGCCCATGATCTGCCTCAAGATCATAGAAAGGCTATGTAGGTTGTAATGCACAGAAGTCCAACTCAATGACCTGCATATATTAAGTGAAACTTGATGCATTAGAAATAGTCAGTGGTCTTCATATTATTGCAGAGAGAGAAGTATATCCCCCACCACCACCACAAAAAACAAAACAAAACAACAACAACAAAAAAACAAACAAACAAAAAAAACACAACACACAAAAACAACCCACAAAAAACAGCAATATCAACAACAACAGGGAACCCATGAGAAGTGCATATGCTTGGCCCCCAAACTTAGTGAATCATAATTTCTTGGGTCCCAGAAATCTTGGTTCAACGAGTGTGCTCTGACTTATATGGGAAACAATCTTTCTGTAATATCCAATAATTCTTTTTATGAATGAGACTCATATACGAAACAGTTAATAGCTACCCTTCTTTCTCACATCAGATTCTGTTGAGGAGTTACTGCGCCTGAAGCTGCAATCATTCACATTTTCTTACTTTTCAAACTGGTTTAGATCTTTCTAATAGCAAGAACAAAAGAAAAGTGGGTGATTTCCCCTCCAATTCTCAACTTCAACATTTTATAGACCAAAACCTAACATATTCATATGTCTTAGCCCTGGCACATTTCAGTTTCTTTTGAAAACGGCTTCTAAGTAATTTTTTTCCCCTAAGTGTCCCCTCCCTAATCCACATACTTCCTAGTCAACTGGTTATATAGTAACATTATTTGTGTTTTGGTTTATCTGCCACTTCCTGTTGTTTTGCTATTTGTTCTCAATCAAAAATAAATAAATTAATTAATTAAAAAAAAAAAAAAACAGAACAAAGGCAAATAAATACTGCCTGCTTTGTTTTCCTCTTCCAATATTTTAGAGGTTGGAAAATTTACAAAATAAATATCCTCTCAACCTTCTTGTAAAAGGATTGCAAAAGAGAAAAAAGAACAATTGAGTAATAGTTTCCCCTAATTTAAAAATACCCAGCTAAGGCACGATCAAATCACAAAACACGGGGCTGATAGGACTTTGAAAATCACCAGACAATAATCTGAAAATATTGATCTATGATTCTTAATTCATTACCCATTATCAATGTTATTTGGAAGGTAAATTTAAATAGTTTGATTTTTTTCCCCACAGAAATAAGAGAGTTGATAATATGAGTTGGTAGATAATGAAATAACAAAAATATTTTGGAAGGGCGTTTAATCATTACCACATTTCCTAGAAAATACAAAGCTACTTGGCGAGTGCAATTCTTGGCCTTGGTGGAAAGTAGCTTCACTGGTCTTGGAAATAGATGTCTTTAAGGAAACGAGAGCATTTGCCTTATAATTCTCCAATTATCTGGTTCCCATTGAATTGAGATTTATGAAGCACTGGCCAGGAAGTTTGCAACACAGGAGATAACCATGCTGAAGTCTATCACTTCTGAGTTTTTGAGATTTCCCCACTAATACTTCTGGGCAGGGGGTGGGAAGGTTGAGGGGTGAAAAGAAAGAGGGTAGCATATCCTCCCCTCCCCCCGCCATGAGATTCATCATTGACTCCACCAGCCACAAGGTCTCAGGGCCCAACTCAATGCTTGCCCATTATCTTCCTAGTCAATATCAATACATGCACACTGGCCAGCACTCCCATGTATATCTGCTCAAGAACCCCCATGACACACCATAAAAAAATCCATTCCCTAAAGTAAGCTGGACTTAGACCTCACATTTAAATCCCTTCAGGCAACAGCATCATCCCCACTGAGACACCAATGCATGGGAGGCTGGGGTACAAGAACCAAGGCCTGCGTGGTCTGAGCCCATGTGGGCGAGCATGTGGGTCAGAAACGGCGCAGAGCAGAAGGGCACTTACGGTTGGCACAGCTTGATTAGGTCCTGGTCAGTGGTGCCTGGTGGGAGGCCTCGAATGTACAGGTTGGTTTTACTCAACTGTTCCCCGCTGCTGTTGTTGCTGCTGTTGTTGCTGCTGCTGTTTGTGCTGGGGCTGGGAGGAGCCATGGGGTGGGGAGCTGGTGCATAGGACTGCTGAAAACAGAAAAGGCTGTTACTGGAAAAACAAAGCCAGCACCTATTCCCAGGCCAGCAGAGCACCTCAAAAGCAACGCAAGCGTCTCGGGCTCTCCAGTCCACACACGTACACACATGCTTAGACACATCACCGCTCTGTGGACTTCTGAGAACAAAAGATGCCTTCTCCCCTCTCTGGCCCTGCATTTGGGTTGGCAAAAGCTTGCAATCAATGGGACATAAAGAAGTTCTCAGGTGTCCCTGATAGCAGCCCCTGGCTTCTGAGTCTGTCCACTGTGATTTTCCTTAAAGACCCGGAAGGTAGCATGTTATCTCCTTCTCTGGCAGAAAAACACAACTCACTCTTGACACCAAAGCTCCGCCCAGCCCGTGTTCAATAGCTGAGCATCTTTGGTTTGCCTCTACTCTTTGTTCCTCCCAGTTCTTCAAAGCAACCCCATAGATTGTTTCCTTAGCATTACTCTCCAGCACAATTCCCCATACAAAGAAATCACTCTGTGGATAGTGCTTCTATGAGTAAACAAGCAAATGAATGAATCTCTCTTATCTCTTCTCTCCTCCCAAACCTGCTTCTTCCTGAGGAAACAGACTTTGTTAGCAAGACTCAGCCACCATTCTCTTCCCTCTCCCTTCAGTCAAGATTCCCTTTATTTCACTCTAACCCAGGGTCTCAACCTAAGCACTATTGACATTGAGGACAGGACACTTTTTTTTTTTTATTTTATTATTTTTTTTTTTTTGAAGGCTGTCCTGTTCATTATAGGGTCATAGCAGCATCCTTCACCCACCAGATTTTACCAACACCTGTCCCCCAGTTGTGGCAACCAAAAAATGTCTTCACATACTCATGAATGGCCCTGGGAGTAAAATCTCACCCAGTGGATAACTCTTTCTTTGACCTGTCAGACTCTTTCTGAGAAAATGAAAATGATAAAATTACCTCCAGAAACTTAGGGTATACAATGTGAGGGTCTTTTTAATTATACATGCCCAAATGAGTAGATAAGTTATTCATTATATTTTATTTCTTTTGCAAACGGGCATATCATCAGAAATTCTAAAATTGCACTGATTGGAGTCCCTGCTGCATCTCTTAAGTTCTCTGTGACCTTTGCATGGTGCCTTAACCTCTGTGAGACGCAATGTTCTCATTCATGTGAGGAGGATGTATGAGGGGGATAGAAATAGTACTCCCCCACATCATAGGGTTTTTACCACAACTCAATGAGCTAATGCAAATAAAATGGTCCCTGGAAATTAGTAAGTGCACAATAAAAGTTAACAATAAAAAATATATAATGGTAATATTTGTCATTCATCTCTGTATTGCCAGTGATATTAGTCTATATAACTATCCCAGATATCCTCAACCATAATTCAGAATGCCATCTATAGGTACAATAAACACATTCATCAGATTCCAGTGGAAGCATTTCTGGCTGAGTTTTAACCTGAAGACACATTAGCTATTTTATCAGGGGTGGGAGGTATGTACTTATCAAATAGCAAGTAGGTGCTTAATAAATACTTAGGCTACGTGATGTACAATAAAAATGGAATAAACACAGCCTTTAATCCCTACATGAGGGCACATTTTAGCTGTATCCAGCCTTGTTTCCTGCTGTTACAGTCTGTTTAACACACATTTCTAGGATTTCCTATTTGCCCCAGTCTATATTGCCAATGACTATAAGACGTGCCTCTTAGACGCAGTTTTTCGAAATGCAACTTTTAATATCTACTCTCATCTCCCATCTTTCCACACTAGCCACCCATCACGATTATCCCATTTTTCCATGTTGCTGTCATTCTTCCAGCCTCCATGCTAGAACTTTGATGTCAATTCCATCTGTTCCCTAATCCTAAATCTCAAAATACAGTCATCTACCAAAATCTCTGAAAGGTTTCTAGAATCATCCTTTCCTCTGAATTCCTACTTTTTCCCTAGGCCAGGCTCTGAACCACCTCTGATATAAAGGACTTCAAGCTCCCTTACCTCAGGCTTCCCTGTTATTAACTGGGGGTTTGGGAAAGAATAAGAAAGAATAGTCCAATGTCAAATGCAAGCACAAAGTGGTCAAGGGAGTACTAAGCAGTTTGTTTAAAAAAAAAAAAAATGGGGAGGTGACAGGGCTGGAATGACAGGAGCAAACCCCAGAGCCCCCAACTCGCTTCTTTGAAGTAAACATTTTTCTCAACCATTTCTTTAGTGTGAGTTTGTTACCAACATTTTTAATGTTGAATTTTAAAATGAATTACACAGACTATTTTCTGGCCCCAATATTCGAATAAAATGGCATATACTCATTGCCTTTTGGAATCTAATATCTGCATAAAGATTCTTGGCTTGCATGAAAAATGATTCCTTCTTGAGCTCAGAGCTAAGAATTGGGTTTCGCTACTGGGACATCCATAATACTTAACTCTACCTCTTTGCAAGCCCCACACTTAGTAGGTGTTCAATACATCCTGGCTGAAGTAGCATCCTGGTCTCTGTGTATTGCAACAGGACAGATGAAATTTATCTTTTACTTCCCATCTGCGTTCTTCTCTTAAATATCCCAGGGTTTGTTTTTTGTGTGTGTTTTTTTGGTGTAATTCTTTTGCCACTTTCCCCTCCCCTCCCTCTAAATTCTTTGAATTCCATTCTGTGCTCAGGCTTCTTTTAAAATGAGGCTTTGTTTAAAAGCAGTTGTTCTGACTGCCTAGCCTTTTAAACCACCAGAGAGCCAGAAAAATGTCTCCAGCTCTATGTATCTCAGATCAGATGGACCAGTTCAGACTGAGCCCTTGATTGATACAAGAAAGCACCCGCTATAGGCTGATCAATATGTGTTGACTTAATTCTTTTGTTGTCCCTCAGGGATCTTGGCGAGCATTTTTACACAGCTGGGGCACCATTTAGTAGATTGCATGGTGCCTAAAACAATAACTGTGCCCTGCAAAGGGCCCAAGGTATTCACTGGGGGTGAGAGGGGGGAGTTAAACAAACAGTCAAAAAGCAAACCAAAGCTGGAATGAGTAGAGGGAATGGGTGTGCATGGAAACAAGATAGGTCATTTATAAACAGGAGCGGAAGCACCAGATTGTTGTGGGAAAAGTATGTCTTTCAAAAGCCCTTTGAAGAAACTATACAAAGGTGTTTTTCTCTGTCACAATCTTGTTTGGGAGTTCTAGACATTCTGCTGAAAGGGATAGACTTTCTCAGTGTAACCGAACCAATTGATCCATAGATTTGAAGACCCTGTGCTGACACTCCTGCTAATTCTTAATATTTCATTCATGTGTTGATGATGCACTGAATGATTCAGGTAGCGGGCCTGCGTTATAAATCACTCTCTGGTTGTGAGAATTATAAATCCCTTCCTCTCCATCCATTTTCAAAATACACATCTTTTTAATCAACAAAACATTGGCTGAAGGTTCCGGGAATGTCTGACAAATGCACAGGCTGAAATGAATTAATTTGTGAGAAGCAAAAGAGGTTTTGTATGCTCTGGCTGCCAAAGACAAATGACTAACCTACAGCCTCTTTACAAAAAGGGGAGCATCAATAATCTTTAGGGGTTAATGGGTCACAGCAGCTACTTTCCTGATTAAAAGTGGTTAAAAGTGACTGATTCTCAATTCTTCATCTTTAAATGAACTTGGAATGTTATCATTGATTCGCTTTTTAAAGTACTGAGGAAGAAATGTTAAACTGGTAGTTAAAAACATTTTCTTTCCGATGAAACTGTCTTTGTGATATTGCCCAAAGTCACACATGGTAAATCCTGTTGAGGGGTGGTGAGGACTTAAGGGCTGGGGTTGCTGAACACTGTAAATCCGAGCTGCTACAAGGCAAGGGGTTGCTCTGAATTTGCAGTGTCAGTTGGTTAAAACTAGTAGAAATGGCAGATTTTCAAAAGAAGGGCTTGGGATGGCACTCAGAGTGAAAGGGGAGATAGAACTCTCAGGAAGTGAAAGCCGCATATGCTTGGCAAGCGTGAATGCTCTTCTCAGATGTTTATTCACGGTGGCATTGCTGGGAGGGGCTGCTAGGGATTATGGGATGTGGCTGAAGCCTTCTTAGTCACGTGTTGGGGCTGCTAAATCAGCGGATTAGTACTTGTGTCATCCTTAGTATCAATAAATTAAGAAAAATGACTTGGCATCCATTTTGAAGATGTTATTCTTAAGATACAGATTCTAATAACCATAGGTATCACTCATGTGTTCGCTAAGCATTTTTTTATGGATTCTAGAGAGGTAAGAAGGGAGAGAAAGAGAGAGAGAAACATGGATCTGTTGCTCCACCTATTTACACCTTCCTGGGTTGATGCATACATGTGCCCTGGTGGAGGATTGAACCCACAATCTTGGCCTATAGGTATGACACTGATGAACTGAGCTGCCCTGCAGGGTCTTGCTAATAATTTTATATGTTGTCTTTATAACAGCCTAATGAGGCAAATAATATTAATCTCATTTTATAAATGAGAAAACATAGGCACAGAAAGGGCAAATGATTTTTGCAAAGTCACAAGCCTGGAGCCCCAAGCTGAACTGAGGGAGTCTGACTCCAGGAGCCACTCAGTCGCCACAACACTGGGAACTTCACCTCTTGAAGACAGAGGCTCCAACAAACACAACTGGCCTCCTTGCAGTGATTCCCGGACAGGAAGACTCTGGCAGAAGCTCTGGTGAGCCGACGATAAAGGGGGAAGAGAAGAGTGATGATGCTAAACAGCATGCAGTCAAAATGAAGGTTAAAGAGCTCTTTCCTTCTACCAGAATTTAAATAAAGCCAATCTCAAAATTTAATTTCAAAGGGGAAGTGCCCAACAGAAGCAAGCATGTTATGAGTTTTCCAAATAATGTCAAACTAGTGGGGTTCATTTGTCAAGATTCATGGTTTGTTATTTAATAACAGGAAAATGAACTGGCTTATAGATCATCCTAAACAGCTGATTCATTTAGTGTGCTTTGTTAATATGCCTCATTTTTCAAGTTTGAAA